AGACAGGCAAAGTAACACAGCTTCACAGAGTTAAACAAATGCAACATAAAAGAATGCAACACATCTTTGCATCACTAAACAAATGTTCCACAACATAAAAGAATGTAGTACATCTTAAAATAATATTCTACTACACTTTACCAAAAAATGAATCACAGGGATAATAGAATATTAGGGCATGTGGATGAGGCACAGAAATTATACCTTCAACAGAGGACATTAATTCATTTTAAGAAACATAAGTAGAACATGCAATATCATTGGGATGTTTATGAAAAGACTTAAACTAATGAATTATAGGCATAAAAGGAGAACTCCATGCCAAGGGTATAGAAAATATTTTCAATATAATAATAGCAGAAAATTTCTAAAATCTAGGGAAATAGAGGGCCATCCCAAGTACAAGAAGTTTGTAGAAAATCAAATAGACAGGAATAGAAAAAAAGCTCCCTATATCATATCATTTTAAAAATACTTCATAACAGAGCAAAGAACATATACTGAGCTGCAAGAAAGAAAGAGGCTCAGCTGGTCTTTCAACAGAAATTTTAAAAGCCAGGAGAAGAAAGATGTAATTCAAGTTCAGAAAAACCACAACTGACAACACAGACTACTATAACCAACAAAACTATCTATCATAATTGATAGATAAATAAAAACATTCCATGATTTAAAGGAAATTGCTAGAATGAATTCTTTGAAGCAAAGAAAATATATTCAAGTAGCTTCAGGGAAAAAAAATAAAGGATGATATAATAGTAAGTTAAACAAATGAGAATTAGTAACAAACAAACACTACAAAATCAACAAAATGAAATGAATTAACACACACTTGCAAATAATACCTCTGAATATTGATGGTCTCAATTTCCCTATCTAATGATGCAGACTGAAAATTTGGAGTCAAAAAAAAACAAGATCCATGTATTTTCTACCACTAAGAAATATACCTGATTATCAAATATAGACATGTCTTAGGGTGAAAAGATAGAAAAATATATTCCAAACAAATGGAACTAGAAAACAAATAAGTTTTGCTATTCTAATATCTGACAAAAATAGACTTCAAACCAAAACTAGTGAGAAGAGAGAAAAAAGGTCACTTCATACTAATTAAGGGAACAATCTATCAGGAAGACATTACAATTCTAAACACATAAACAGTGAACATAGATGCACCCAATTTCATAAACCAAATATTACTCAATATAGTATCACAATCTCACAGTATCATAGTAATAATTGGTGGTTTTTAATATAGGTCATTCTAACAAAAAATAAGCAGAGAAACATCAGAGTTAAATGACATCATTGATCAAATGGACTTAACAGACATCGAGAGAATACTCCATCAAACACTGTATACATTCTTTCAACAGCCCATGAAATTTTATCTAAAATAGATCATATGTTCAGACATAAAACAAGTACAGAAAAACTGAAATATCTTTTTTTAAAGAAAAAATAGGATCTCACTATATAGTCTTGGCTGCACGGGAATTCACTATATAGACCAGACTGGCCTCAAACTATTAGAGATCTGCCTACCTCTATCTCCTGAGTTCTGAGATTAAAGGCATGTACCACCATGTTCAAATGTTAAAATAACTTCTTATTCTAACTGACCATAGTGGAATAAAGTAATAAAGAAACAGTAAAAGAAAAATCAAAATCCACAAATAAGCAGATATTAAACAACAGTCTACTGAATGATAAATAAGTCACTGAACACATCAAGAAGGAAAATTTTAAATTCTTATAATTGAATGGAAATGAAGACACAACATAACAAAACTTATAGTGTACAATAAAGGCAGACCTAAGAGTTTATAACTATAAGTGCTTACATTTAAAAAAAAACAGAGAGGTTTCAAGTAAATTACTTACAGGATCAATACATCCTTAGCCAAAGTGTCCAAGAAAGAAAGAGAAGACAAATTTAATCAGATTAAAGATGAAAAGGGAGGTATTGCACCAGATACCAATGAAATTACAAGGGCATAATTTAAGCATTTATTGTTCTTACATATTTTTCCTAAAGATCAATCATTGTTTCACTGATTCTTTATATTTTTTCTATTGCATTAATTTTTGCCCATATCTTAATTTTTTATGTATACTACTTTGGGGTTTGGCTTGGTATTATTTTTCCAAGGTCTTCCTAAAATGAATTGGTAAGTTATATCCATGTGCATAGTGAGTCCCAGGCCAGCCAAGACTATATAGTGAGACCTTGACCCCCACCCCCCAAACACATACACACAAAACCAACAAAAAGCACCTATACTCATATTCTAAGATAGGTGGGATGGGGACAGTGCAAGTTGTTATTGCTGTTTTGAAATGCTGTGGATGGATGGAACCCAGGGCCATGAGCTGTTAAGAAAGCACTCTATCACTGAGCTCAGGAGGCATTCTTTATATATTCTACATATCTTTTTTTGTTACAGATGCTTTAAATATCCTCTCTCATTCAAACGATTAATACTGACTAAAGATGATATAGGCTACAGGATTTTCTAATGACTGCAGAGCCCTACTTTCTCCAAAACAACCACTAGATAAAGATGATCTTAAAGTTCTATCAAAACTTCAAGGTCAGTTACTTAAAGACTGGATTTTAAATCAGGAAAGATAACACTAAAAGTTGCACACTCATATTGTCGACGCATAATCCTAATGTCAAAGCTTGATACAATCAATGCATGCACATACCCCAATATATATTTCACTGATAAATATAAATAATAATGATCAAATACACTCAATTAATCCATTTTGACAAAAAAGGGGTTTGTGTGCAAAAGACTACTACTGATGCATTTAAAATTAATTCATACTATACATAGATTGGATGAGAATATCTGAAATCAGCACCAAAAGTACCAAAAGGCATATGGTAAAATTTAACATTAATTCTTGCTAAACCTCTCATTATTTAATAAAGTGAAATTGGAAAAAAAAGTTTCAAAAACAAAACAACAGAAAGTATCACACAAGTTAACAAAGTACACATTATAAGAATTTCTATTAATGCCAAGATTTTTAAAAAGATGATTAACTGTTCTGACTGCTATGATTCTATTTTGCCCAATAGCAGTCGTTCTCAACCTTCCTAATGCTGTGACCCTTTAATAAAGTTCATCATGTTGTGATGATCCCCAGTCATAAGATTATTTTTGTTGCTACTTCATAACTGTAAATTTTTCTACTGCTATGAATTGTAAATATCTGATATTTGGAATGTCTGATCTGCAACCCCTGTGAGAGAGTCATTTGACCCCCAGAGGCATTGTGACCCACAGGTTGACTGCTGCCCAAAAGGACATAGTCAATGCAATGAAAAAAGGTGTGATGTTATTGTCTTCATGTAAACTCCAAAACAGACCTAAAAAGACTGGTAAATAATTGTCTTATATAAGAATAACATCAAAAAATTAAGCTTTTCTATGTCATTTATAATCACATAGAAACTGCAATAACAACATATGGCATTTACAGAGGAAGCAAACTGATTTTAAGAGCTAAAAATAATGTCAACAAGAAACCAATAAACACTATATTGAAGAGAGTATAGAATGCCATCAAAGAAAAGCTGAATGATTGAATGCATAAAACAAGTTCCTCTATGGAAGGACTCAATATAATAAATACTTTGTCTATCCCAACATAATTATGAAATATTCAATAAATATTAAAATTCTATTATTACATCTCAAATGCTATCTCAAAGTAGTCGTCTCTTACTAGCTTATAAAAAGTCCTTTGGCCCCATCTTTTGTAATATTATTATCCTCTCAATTTGCTCTGTTCATCCTTATAAATATGTAATAGAAAGTACTAATTTTATCTGTATGTGCTGGCTAACACCTATAACCTCAGCATTCAGGAAACAGAAGCAGGAAGTTTAAGTCAGCCAGGTTTTCATAATGAGTACCATTTCAGCCAGGACTATGCATCAAGACCCTCTTTTATTTAAAAAGAAAACACAAAACACAAAAACTAGAGTCTATGGACAGGAAAGCTGGAAAGTGACCTCCAGTGACCTCCTATCAACTGCTCCAGACAGCGACCATGTGGCATCTGAGAACTTGACTGCTGAAGTCAGAGCAAGCCAGAAACTCTATCCAAAAGTGTAGGAGACAGAACCCTGCACCTTGAGCATGAAGGACAGGATTCAGCTCCTGCACTATGTGCCTCAATCCTACTCCAGCCTAGCCAACTTGACAAACCTGGGAAGAGGGCACCTCAACTGAGGAATTGCCTCCATCAGGTTGGTCTATGGAAATGGTGATTGATAGTTAATGGAGAAGAACCAAAGTCATTGTGGATGGTATTACCCCCAGGAAAGTGGTCCTGAATTGTATAAGAAAGCTGACTGAGCATGAGCCCAAGTAAGCCAGTAACCAGCTTTCCTCCATGGTTTCTGCTTCTAGTTCCTGCTTTGAGTTTCTATCTTGGTTTCCTTCAATGATGTGCTATAAACCTGCAAGCTGAAATAAACCCTTTGTTCTCCGTGTTGCTTTTGGTCATGGTGTTTATCACAGCAAAACAGAAAGTTATTACCTCTCTTCTAGGACACATCAGTCAAAGAACATTTTATCTTATGGGAGAGTCATTTCTAAGTTTTCCCATGAAGAAATCAGAGATTCTGAATCCCTTGCCTAATATTCTACACAAATAGTCATTTAAATCAGAGGGCGGCAGAAAGAGGTAGAATAAAGGTGAATGCTAGAAAAATTGTATGTGGCGGAGCCTGTCTTATAAGAAGCAAAACAGCCAACAAGAAAAAGGAAAATGGGGTCAAATGCTATGCTTCTTTCTGGAGATTAACACACCAGTATGCCTTATAAGCCACCCATCTTCTTGGCAGGCTTTCCCAGTGACAATGTTCATTCCTATGTCCTATATACTCTGATCTTCATTTCATCCATATCAGTCCTCTGCCAAACATCCCTTTGAAATATTTCCACCTCCTCACTTTACTAAATTGTACTTACCTGCCCTTTTAAGTACAGATCCCGGAAGTCCTTCTCTGACCTTATTGCTTGGAGTCACTGTTTTCTCTGAATTTTCAAAACACTTCCTAGGGAAGAACACAGCAAGCAAATTACTGTCAGGAGCACAAAATACATCTCTCTACTTCATGTCCACAGTACCCAAGGGGTTTCCTATCTATTAGGTGAATAAAACAATATAAAATATAAATTAATCCTTTACACAAGAATTTAGAGAAATGAGAAATCACTGTGTCTGAAATATTTTAGAAAGGCTTTGTCAAGAAAACACTTAGCCAGGCGGTGGTGGCGCACGCCTTTAATCCCAGCACTCGGGAGGCAGAGGCAGGCGGATCTCTGTGAGTTCGAGGCCAGCCTGGGCTACCAAGTGAGTCCCA